TGGCGACACCCGGTCGGACTCAGTGAGCTCCTGTGGCGACACCCTGTCGGACTCAGGGAGCTCCTGTGGCGACACCCGGTCGGACTCAGTGAGCTCCCGTGGCGACACCCTGTCGGACTCAGTGAGCTCCCGTGGCGACACCCGGTCGGACTCAGTGAGCTCCTGTGGTGACACCCGGTCGGACTCAGTGAGCTCCCGTGGCGACACCCGGTCGGACTCAGTGAGCTCCTGTGGCGACACTCCGTCCCCTGTCGGACTCAGGGAGCTTCTGAGGTCATCTCTCCGTCTGACCGGCCGCTCGTGGCGGCTGCTGGCTACACCTGGACGCCGGAACCGCGGACCACGCGAGCGGAAACCCCGGGAGTGGGCCCGCGGACCTCTGGGTCACGGGGCCGCTCAGAGAGGCGCAATTTCCGCGCCGGTAGACTCGCCTTTCCGGGGGGAGGGGGGCGGCAGTCCGTGGGAGGACTGAACGGGGAGCAGGCCGTGTCGGCACTCCAGGGGACGTGGCTCGCACTAGATCGGCGCGTGCCTGAAGTAGACCGTCTGCAGTCTGGCACACCTAGCGTGTGTTCGGCATCCGGAAAATGTTGTCCCTCGAATATTCTCCGTCAGAAAATTATCTGCGAAGAGACACGATCGGCATATCCATGTTTAGGGAGAATTGTTCGCTGGAGAATTATTCCCAAAATAGACGTTCGGTTAATCTCGAGGTGTCAGCTGGATATCGACTGACGACAAAGGAATAATTTCCCCGCGACTCTGCTCTGCGGATTCTATCCGGCGAAGCAAAGTCATCGGCGATAATTTTCCGCTCTCGCAATACCGAACGTGAGTACCGAATAATTATCGTTGATTCCGGAAAATTATCCCTCACTTTTCGGAGCCGAACAAACGGCTAGAAGAGGACTAGACTCACGCACGCGGAATGAGGCCCGCAAACCATCTAACATTGGTCTGCTGACCGGACAGGGGTGACTCCACACAGTCCACACGCCACCCCGGACAGCGTGAGTCGGCAGAGAGAGGCCGTCCCGGCTGGATCGGGTATATCTGCGAGCTGATTGGTACAGGAGCCCACTGCTGGGCTGGGTACCGACAGTATCGGTCACCGTCCGTGCTGACAGGGACCGCTGGCCGCTGACATCTGACCTCTCCCGCCGAGCGCTGACCGCTGACTGCCGGTCGTTGACCAGTGACCAGTGGTCGCTGACAGCTCACCACTGACTACTGAGATCACTGGTCACCGGCCGTCACTCAAGGTCGTCTGGGACCGATTCTACGCGTGGGTGTTCAGCGGGACCGATTTGAGACCTCCTGACCGATTCTCCTGCCGGTCACCGCGGGTGATATGGGTGTTTTCGATTCAAAGCTGATATCCAACGCAAGCAGTGACGTGTTGTACTCGAACAACTGAACGTCCAACTCACAACTGTGAATGTTATTGGTGGCACTGCAGAACGCCTATGAATGGCGCCAATGAAGCGTGCAGGAATTCCGGTATTTATAATTGTAATCGTGAGGATGCGCGACTAGTCTGCGTGACAAGGACCGGTTCAACCACTTTATTTTCGCTATCCTGCTTTTGCGATAATGCGCAATTCAGTTTGATGTGCGTCAGCATGCCCCGGCAGGCAGCATGCACTCTTGCGACCATTTGCGATTAGTCAGGACATGATTTCAAGCCTTAAAGCGGTCAATAAACAATTTATTTGAGCGAAATAGTAGTAGATTGGTGCGTTAGCCCATTTTCCCAGATCGTTCCGAATACTTCCATTGAATAAAAAGATCACAAACCTAAATCCGGATGCCTAAGCAAAAAGAAATCAATCAATATCAAATCATTTACAAGTTCAATACCATTGCAAACGCTTCCGGTGCAGGTCATATAACTTTTTTTCTTCAGAACATAGCTTTCAGAACATCAATGAGCCGTGATAAGGTGACATTAAGCACCTCACCGCGCCGGTCGGTCCATGCAAGTGTTTGGCGCCTGTTTTCCCGGCGTTGACGGCGAATCTTGCTCCGAAGTAGGTATGCATCTGCAGGACAGGGTCGCGGGACGTCTCAGCCGACCTGTCTCCACATACCACAATCGCTGAGTGAACACTGATTCAGAGACTGAAGCGGGGAACCCCTCATGACCAAGGTTAAGGGCAATGTCAACAAGATACATATCAATAACAGAAGGAGTGAGAAGTTGATTCAACTGCATACATTTGGCATAAGCAAAAACTAATCGTATGCACGATACAGACTTAGATGTGCACTGTGCAGCACAACCTATGCTGTACGTAGCCATCGAGCCGCGCGGCGACAGATGATGCCGAGCTTAAAGGGACCCTCCCACCTTCAAAAAAGTTAATGAATCGGCACGAAAGTGATGTCGCTCGGTTCAGAAAGAGCGAAAACGAATATCTACCAAATTTCATCGAAAAATATTCACCGGTTTTCAAGATATTAGACTTTTACTTTTGTTTACTTTTTGGGATCTCCGCTGTTCCTAGCGACTTTATTTGAAAGTGCGGCATTTGTTGCGCGCAAAGCAGCATATACCACCGCGTGCTACCAAACGTTTTAGTAAAAGATTTAAAAATCGTTAGATCTCCGCTGACGTCACAAATTATAAGGGGGCATACCAATGCACTAGCCCCTTAGAATCCGAAAACTGCAAGTTTGAAATTCCATATCTCCGAATTAAAGCATTTGTCGATGTTGTGAGTGCCCAAACCGGTATTTGCAGGCCATGGCCACCAATTTGGCTATCTCAACTCAAAACTAATGTTAAGGTGGGAGTGTCCCTTTAACACCATCATGGCGGAACGGGAGCGGGCGTTGACGATCTCCATCAAGGACTATAGGGGCGCAGGCCGCAGACAAGGGAAGGGCCCCGGCCACCCCCTCCTTATTGGCACGTGCGGCCTCCATCACCACGCGTTCTTCACAATCACATGGCTAGCCAAAGACCGCCATCCACTACCTATTAGCTATTTCTATTATTTGAAGAGCTGAGGGTTGATTGTGAAATAATAAGCTAGTTATATTAATTAAATGGCACGATGCCGTTGCGGTGGACTGTGGAGGCATCTCCATTTGCATATCCAGCAGCAGTCATCAGGCACTGAAGATCATCACATTCGTGTTGTGAAATCCACCTGGCCGTTAGTAGCGATATTTCACTCACCCCAAATAAACAAGCCGCGATGTTTGCCCAGGCGGCCATTCGGGGCGATACAAATGGGTAGCCGCTCCGCGCGCGTAACTGTACACCTCGCATGGTGTTTTTCTGCGCCAGGCCACGCACCGCCAGCGTCCAGCGATGCGACAATTGTCCACGTTTTTCGCTCTGCTGTGCGGCGGACAAAAAGTCCCATCCACCCGCACCGCGCGAGACCTTGAAATGGCGCGGGAGACATTAGCCAAGCCGATTAGTCTGTGGCTGGCGGGGGTCTGGTGAGCCTGGACAACCGGACCGGGCCGGGGCGGCGGGGCTGTCCGGTCTGTCCTGGCCGATCAGCGGACCGGGTCTGTCCGGGCCGGGATGGAACGGCTGGTCTGTCTGGGCCAGTCAGCAGAGTCGGGTCATCCGGGTCTGTCCAGGACGGTCAGCAGGGCCGGCCCGCTCTGTCCGGACCGGGCCGATCAGCGGACCGGGTCTGTCCGGGCCGGGATGGGACGGCGGGGCTGTCCGGGCCGGTCAGCAGAGTCGGGTCTGTCCGGGCCGGGCCGGGACTGCGGGTCTATCCGGGTTTGTCCGGGTCTATCCGCGCCGGGATGGGACGGCGGGTCTGTCGACTGTCCGGTCTGTCCGGGCCGGGATGGGACAGAGGGATTGTCCGGGCCGGGCTGCAGGACGGTCAGAGACCCCAGGTCTGTCCGGGTCTGTCAGCAGGGTTGGGTCTGTCCGGGTCTGTCCGGGTCTGTCCGGGCCGGTACGGTACAGTCGGAGCTGCCGACTGTCAGCCGGAAGCCGTCACGGCAACACGTTCTGCCCCACATGGCTCCCACACTCGAACGGTACAGCTCCTCCCAAACGAGGCCCGGGCCACCCCAGCCTCAGCGGGCTGGCAATATTCGGCTGCCGGGCCTCTGCGCGGCCGAGCTGGAGTCGCTGCGCTGCTGACCTTCAGAGCAGCACCTGTCCGCTGACCGGGTGGTCGCTGCGCTGCGCTGCGCCGCGGTGATTTCAGCACCGGACAGAGGATGGACAGACCACGGCCGGCTCACAACGAGCTGCTGCGTGCCGCGTGCGTATTGGAAATGGAAGGTCAGCTATAATCGGCTGTAAGGTCGTCAGGTGTCATTGAACAGTGTCATCCGACACATTAGGTTCCGTGCGCGGAAGTTGATCGATGAAAACCGGCTTATGGAGGACATAGTGCCGAGACCGCCATAAAAGAGCAGCCGTTACACATGTAGCTATGTGCTATTGTTTAGCTGTGACAGTCACTCTATCATCAGAGACAGAGACATTATATAATGGTATGAATTTTGTTCGAAATAACGATAATGATGTCGCAAACGTGTAACGATGTCGCGGATATTTCGAACAAAATTCAAAACGAATCATATCTATTCTACATTTTGGTCATGAAAAAAAATTCGTCTATTCTGTGCCTGTGTATTGTGTGTGGTGTTTCAGTGCATTTTTCTTTAGATGCAGGCTAAACAAGAAAAACGAACATTATAAAAAGATTACAATAAACGAAGCTGGTGTTTCAAACATTTAGGATGAATAACAGCCGTAACATTACTTGAATCATGCGCGGCGCACAAATACAGAAACGTGACCTTTCTAAACGGATAATTATTTCCCCTAGGACAAGTGCAGCAGGTTTGGACCCGTCGGTGCAGTGTATGGGGACGCTGTATGCTCACGCAGCTGACCGCCCCCGGCTGGGGAGAGAGCAGGGGCAGGCGCCCCGGCGCGGGTGTTTGTCCCTGACCTACGGCACAGCCGAGCGGGTGGATTAGGTGGCCGGAGCCGGCGTCTCACTCACCTTTGGCCGTGGACTTGGCCGTGAGCGGTGGCTTCTTCGCCGACGACATGGCGGTGCGGCGCGATCGTATCAGGGCGCCGGCGGCGACCGGTGCAGCACTGCCGGGGGGAGCGGCGGGCCGGCGTGGCGGGCGGGCGGTCCAGCTGCGTTTGGGCGCCGGTGGCCGTGCGGCCGGCACGCGCTATGGTGGCTGTCGAACTGCGGCTCGGCCCGGCCGGCCGGCCGGCGCGCCGTCCTCCAGGCAGGAGCCGGCCGTGGCCGTGGTGGGCCGGCGGCCGGGCAGGGGAGGGGAGGGGGGACAGCCGGCCCGTCGGACAGGTCCGCCGCGGCGCGCCGAATGACCTGTGGTGACCCTGCGCTCCGCAGATGGCCGGCTGCGATTACCGCCACGGTGGGAAGCACCGCCCACAGCGGCGGAATCCGACGCGGCGTGTCCGCCATCGACTTAGCAATCAAATGACCGTAGAATATAGTCCTTTCACGACGGAACATTATGACTATGTACATGTAGACGGGAAAGCCAACGGGTGATTTTTTTTTAACTGTTAAAAAGTAAACGTCAATGGTGGTCCCTAAATCGAAAAATCTTGTGCAAAAAAGCAATGCACGTGATAGATAAATCTGGGACATTTTGTATGGTGTCATGATTTGTCCATTTTAACCGAAGGCCTCGGCCCCAATGGAGCCTGAAAATGTCCCACCAATCGGGCACGCATGGTCCACCTCCGTTCAGTAAGGAACGACACAAAACGATGATTTTGAAGCATTGAGGCAGTTCGAAGCATACGATCATCAAGGAGATACCTCAGAAAGACGTTAAATAATGCAGGAACAAGCTTGTCACAAGAGCTTGAACAAGCTTGTTTAACCCGCTAACAATAAATACACCTTTTTGCACTCAAAATAGGCATCTTTTCATTCAATTTCGGCGAATTGCATTCAATTTTAGCGATCTCTCATTTGCTACGAATAGAGAGATCGCTAAAATTGAATGCAATTCGCCGAAATTGAATGAAAAGATGCCTATTTTGAGTGCAAAAAGGTGTAATAGCCAGACATTTAAATGTGTCGGCATAATGGGGGAGCAAATTTCATGAGCGGTGAAACTCGGAATTTCAGGCTCAGCACACTACACAGCCGACTCCGTGGAAATAAAATGTGCTCGTACGCAGGGGCGGAGCTTCCTATACAGTTGGTGGGGCGGTTGCCCCACCAATAAGCGTTTTGCCCCACCAACTTAAGCTGATTTCTAAGACTTTGTTGCTCTGCAAATGAATCTTTTTTCGCATTGAAGAGCTTCGGAATGTCTGTTTAACCCGCGTCCGGCTGGGAGTCCTGGATTTCCACACCCTGCTGGAGGGGGAGGGGGGTTGAAGTGAACACCCCCTTCTAACTCGGCTCCTGGGTCGCGTAGCGATACGGGAAAGGCGGCGTTCGAAAGAGCGTAAAAAGTAAGGAAGAAATCACTTCAGTCACGTTTTTGGTCAGGTCAAAGCCAAAGGTCAGGTCACCAGAGGTCATTGAAGGCCAAAATTCGTCGATTTGTCGACAATTTTCAACAAATCGACGCACAGCTCAGAATATAAAAAGCTACAGCGCCGCAGAAAATTTCATTTGATAGCCCCATTACCGCCCTTTCTGAATAACTGTCTCAGATTTCATCTACCCTCAACGGTTTTGCCTACAGGGGGCAAAAACTGCCAAAATAGCCGTTTTTCGGAAACGATTTTCTGCAATTACTTCTGAGTTCTGACTCAAATTAAACGAACTTTCTTTTACCAGCATCGTGTTCCTTTCGTCAAGACGCGTCGAATAAATTATCACTTGACCTTGAAAGGTCAACTTGATATTTTGACCTCAGGTCAAGGTCATGACCTGACCGGTAAGGGTCAAGTTGCATATCAGTCGATCTGTATTGTCCAGCCAAACACAACTAAGGTGTTTCAATCACTCTAGCATGCCTTTATCAAAAGTTATTCGCGAAAAACAGATATCATTGGCGGCCTGAGATGACCTCAGGGGCATAAAAGGGATCATGGGTGCTATTTCATGTTCTGTGTGTCAAAGATACTAGTAATTATACATTGATACATACTGCTCTTATCAATCTCTGAGAGTTTCAATGCGATCGTTCAGCTGGTGTAGCTATGACGAGCATTGTAAGTTTTTCAGAGGTAAGGGCATTTGACGTCGCCTGGTGATCTGACCTTGGGCGACCTGGGTCTGAAATTTATACCTACATGTGCGGAGAAGATGCGTGAACAGGTTTTTATAAAAATGGCGGCACGGAGCGCCGCCGTTTTTGAGATATCTGCGAAAGACCACAGTGGGTATCCAAACACCCGGGGGCGCGGGCTAAGAAGATCACTGCACTTTGAATCTATCGGAACACCTGAGCTAAAGACGCGCCAAAGACTCGTATTTATTGTTCTTGCAGCGTAACGGTGCCTGATGCGGCACCGACCCTTCTCCACGCAGCGAGGGCACTGACCCTCGATTCGCAGAACATTTGAACACCCCATTGACCGACTTTGGGAATGCAGTCCCCCGTCGCTTTCGCAGAAGAGTGCGAGCGAACATCGATCTCCAGACAAGTGGAGGCCGGGGGGGGGGGGGGCGTGCCGAGGATTCTGCTCCGAAACGGTGCAGCAGCTCCGTTTGCTGCCTACATGCAGGCCATTGACCCGGGAAAGCTAGGCGGTGAAATGCGTTACCCATCCGATAGATCACTATTCTTCCAAGTGCAAGTCAATAAATGAGCGAATTATCTCAGTACAATAAAAAGAGTAATATTGCCAATGATATAGTTCGCGCCATAACCCGGCCCTTGTCAGGGGAGAGGCTATTTTTTGCTCCCTTCAGACTTTTCAATATATCTCCAGAACCGCTGCGCCGATCGTCACCAAACTTTCAGAACCCTCTCGGGCATCAATTTTACACATCGTGACTAAACATTTTTTCCAAAGGCTATCATAGGCTGGCTGCAAATGACGTCAGAGTGATGTCATGTTCTACTGTTTTCAACCCGACAACCCCCCCCCCCTCCCCTGTGCCGGCGAGGGTTAGCTGGTGGCTTGGGATGCTCCATGTTTCACTAACATTCACTTTCATAATATTTTATTCCCACCTGGCCAAAGGGGAGGGTTTGATGTGCACTGTGCAGCCCCAACGGTTTTCTCGAGATCGTTTGCAACGCTGATAGGGCTGGAGAGCTGAAAGTTCGGACATATCTACCTGAACATTGATTTAATCCGGCAGTTGCTGGGGTACTTCGCCACCCACCGTTTGCTGGGGGGGGGGGGGGCGTTAAACGCCCCCAGCCGATAACTCGAGAACCAATAGGCGCAGCGAAACGCACGAGGCGGCAAACGAAAGAACGCGACGAGACGCTTCAGATGAGAACTTTAAAGCTGAATTTTGAGGTCACAGGTCAGGTCAAGGTCAGGTCAAACACCTGAAATCGGGCTTTCAGTAGCATGGACTTCAGGACTTCGCAATGGGCGCCTCTCGTCATAAACTCTGTCAAAACGGTGCACAATCCATCATATAAGGCCTACAAGAGTGTCAGCTCCATGCAGGGGTCATTCAAGCATAGGTCAGGGTCAAGGTCAGGTCAACCGGGCAGGCACATTTCCTCGAAAATAAAAAACTGATATTCGCAGCCTGTGACACATGTTTTATGGGTAATTTGGGGCGTAGAACACGATGGTGACATTCATTTTATCATATGTGTACGTGTTTGGCTCAAAAAGTTCAATTTAAGAATTGCATGTATCATGGTCGTGAAGAAGTCACGAGAAATTGCCAAGATTCAGTTCAAGATTTTGGAAAATGCGGAACGATAATCAATAATCGAAGATAGCCATCTGATTGTTCATGGTATTGGCAGTCTAATGGCGTTTACGGCATGTCTGTATGTCTATTCTGTGATTTTATATGATTTTTTGAACATATGCCGTTTTTGGTCGAAAACTCAGAAATCATGACGTCACTAAAACCTCGATATCTCAAAAATTTTCCGACCAATTTTTTTGAAACTTTGTCACAATAAACTTCAATCAATTCCCTACAGGTACCCAAAATTTGGCGCGCCTGCGGCGCGCCGTTTTTATGCTATGGCCCAGCGAAAAAAGTGGGGGCGTTTAACGCCCCCCCCCCCCAGCAACTCGCGGGTTAAGCCGGATCGTTTGACGCCATCAGAATTTTGAGGCTGAGGTCAGCTTACTGACCTATGACGTCACAAATAAATCTTGGAACGATGCAAAAAGTTGCAGCTTTACAGCACCCTCAGTGAACCTTTTGCAGCGGATAAAACAAGTTACGGCATATAGTAACAAAAATAGAATAGTAATACTAACAGCTCTAGAGATTTCACATCAATTCCTCCAATTTTCCTTACTTTCACCCGAGGTCAAGCTGGTCACGTGACTTCACTATTACAAGTCAGTGGGAAATATTGAACCATTGAAACTGGTATTTTGATGCCGGAAACGATCTTAAGCCTGTAATTAATTATCAATCACCTATAATCGTGATTTCATACACTTTGCAAAGAGCGATTCTTAGGTTTTGCATTGGGGACCTTGCATGTCGTCGTATATGCTGGTACTTTGTATGGTCGTTTGAGGTCAACGTTTGAGGTCAACGTTTTTTCTTTTTGTTACGAGCGAGCGAGCGCAGCGAGCAAGCGAGTTCATACTGAATTAAGGGAAAATCCTGAGTAGGAGCGGCCGGCCGGCCGGCCGGCCGTGGGAACCATAGAGATATATATACATGTATATATATATATATATGTATATGTAGATATATATGTATATATATATCTCTATGGTGGGAACGCTCTTCAAAAGCTAATATCTTAGGAACGGGACATCCGATTCAAGCGGTCTTCTTTACTGAATGTCACTTGGACGTAAAAGTTCTGTGGTGTGATGGCCACCATGCGTTTTTGCCAACCACCGCACGTGGCGCGTGGTAAAGTTGGACAATTTTTAAGAACCCCCAAAATTGCAACCTCAATAACGGCACAACGGTTGGGCCGATTGAATTGAAACTCGGTACACAGGTCTCCATCAGATAATTCATCTGCATGTGTTAAGGTTGGGGTGCTACAGCACGTGCGCACGTGCAGGGGGCGCTCCCAGATCTCGAGAACGGCTGGGCCGATTGCGCTCAAATTTGGTACACGGTTGGGGACCAGTTAGTAGGGTGCCGTGCAAAAGTCA